AAACAATTACTTTAAGTTTTCGTTTATTTTATTTTTCGTTTGACTAGCCATGACAAAAAAAAAAAGAAAAGAAAAGTCTAACAAAATACAAAATTTATGCAATGTTTTTTGTCAATTTTTCAATATATGCCATTAATTCATTTCGTAATGTTGAACCAGAACGATTATCACGTGTAACCTAAATGTTTTTTTTTTTAAAAAAAAAAAAAAATTTTTTTTTTTTTTTTTTTGTTGAAAACATACTGTAATTAAATGACAATCTTTTCGTGTACGAATTTTATCAACAAATCCTAAAGGTTTTATAGGTATAGTTGCGATGAGAATTAAATTTGGACGTTCGATTAATGTTTGAATTAAATCTTTGAATTTATTTGATAATAATTCCATTTTACCTATTTCATCAATAAAACAAATACATGGTGTTTGAATATTCTAATTAAAGTAAAGAACAAAAAGCAAAAATTATATTATCTTTTTTTCATGTACTATTCATAATAAAAACTTTACTGTTAATAATGGTAAAGCAATGCGTTCGAATTCATCAACAAATACATTGTATTGTCCGATACGTGGTAATAATGAGGATCGTGATGTTGTGTATTCACTTGAACAATAAGAATTATTAATTAAGACAGGAATATATGTAGCTGTCAGACGTCATCCAATTCCTTTTTATAATTACGAGTAAGTTCGTGTAAATCTTAAAAGGGTCTGGGGCGATTGCCTTTAAATGAAAGATTATAATTAGTTTAATGAAATTTTTACTAAAAGTATAGCATTTTTGAAAAGCTCACAACGACAAGTTTGCACAGGAAAATATTATTGATAAGGGTTTAATAGTTATTATATAATTCTGAACATTCTAACAAAACAATGATTATATGTTCTTTTTTCTTGAGATATTCAATTTTCAAATAGATAAATTCTTTTCTTATTAATCTACCGATTGTTTTGAAAATTGAATATTTTGAGAAATATATATTTATTTTTATTGAACATTCAGAATAGTTAATCAGTAATAAATCATACGTATAAACAATATTTTCGATCAAAGTTCGCTGTATGGAAAGGGCATGGCTAAGAATCCTTTTAAATTTTTCTTAGTATTGTAGGTAGCTATTTGTAGCCAGAATATGAAATTGAACAACGTCCGATAACTAGATATATTCTCTCATGAAAGATTTTAACATTCAAAAATTACTTTTATTTCTTTTTTTGTTGTGCAACAAAAAAAAACCTCATTTTGGTATTTTCTTATAATTGCTGGTTGACTTAGTATTTACTACACAGAGTTGCTGTTGAAATTAATCAATCAGTAGATATTTTTTTTGTTTTGTTTTGTGTATATCTCAGTAATTAGATCAGCTAGAATGATCTGGTTTTCATCAAATTATAGCACATATTATCTAATATATTAGTAGAAAATTTCATGTCAACTCATTGGTTTCTTGATTCTTTATTTACGGCATAATCACAGCATGCTGTTTTTTGATTCTTTCAAAATCATCGAATCTCTTATTTTTGTAAACTGTTGCGTGCTCGTTCTAAGTTGAAATTTCCTTAATGATATATGATTCAAAAGAACCAATTATGATCTTCGTGAGAACTTTTTTTTTTTGTTATCATTATTTTCCATTGAATATGTGTCAAAATACAAAATTTTTTTGACCCATACCGGAAATTAACAGCAGGAAAAAATGATACAAAAGACATTTTTTTTCTGTGACGTTTAGCTAATTTTATTGTTCAATATGTCGTTATAAAGAACAGTATAAATTGAATTAGACATTCATTTTGAAGCAACATTTCATGCTAGAAAATTGTGTTAGTCTTTTTCAATGTATGCGTTAATTACATATATACTTTCTTGTACTCTCTCATTCACGCATTCAAAGACGTATAAAAAATTGTTGGAACAGCGTCAGTTCGTAGAACATCTCTTTCCGTAGAAATCTCTTCTAATTGAAATCAAAAAACCAATAATTTTACTTAGTTTAGAAACTTTTGGTAGACTATAAACAGAAGAAATAAAACGTTAACCGTAGTCCGAATACCAGACTGAATATCTATCTCACTTAATAAAGACGTATTAAACGAAACTTAACATTACACGTTATTCAAAATTTCATTCTCTGTCAGTATAAATATGCAGCACAGCAATTAGTTGTATAATCATTTAGTCAAGTTAACATTTAAGCTATTGCTTAAATTACGGCTAATTTCTTTTATTCCATCTAGTTATAATGTAATAAAGAATTATGAATTAAATGATATAATCCGTTTTAATTTCAATTATAAGAGCTTTCTACGGAAAAACAATGCCCTATAAACTCGTGTTCTTAAAACAATTTTTTATACATTCTTGCATGCGTGAATAAAATAGTATAAGAGAGTTCATATGTGATTAGTGTATTCCTAGAAGACGACTAACACAATTTTCCAGTATAAAATGTCTCTTCAAATTGAATATCTGATGCAATTTGTACTGTTCTTCCGAATGACATATTGAACAATAAAATTAGCTAAACATTAGATGAAAAACAAATATCTTTTGTCGCCTTTTTTTTCTTACTAATTTTCGGTGCGGATGAAAAAAACTTTGTTTTTTGACACATACTCAACAGACAGCTGCGATAAAAAGCAATTCTTACATAAAGCATCATTTGTTCTTTTGAATCTTATAATATAAAGGAAATGTCAACTTAAAGCAAACGTACAACAGTTTGCAAAAAACAAGTGACAAAATAATTTTGAAACAATAAAAAACAGCATGTTTGTCATTATGCTGCGAATACAAAGTTCAGAAATCTATGAGTTCGTTTGAAATTTTCTGCTAATATAATAAAGACAATGGGTTGTAATTTTGATGAAAACCAGATCATTCTAGTTTATTCTATTTTCAAGATATGAACAAAACAAAATAAAACTATCTATTGTTGCAGTAATTTTAACAGTCACTATGTTAATATTTGAAATTTATTGATTTTTATATAAAATACATAACTATATGATTTCTTACTTAATTCGTGCAAGTGAAGCACGTGAATTTCCATCCAATGTGACAATATCAAAACCAATTCGTGAACCACTATTACCACGAATTTCTTCTGTATAAAAACCATAACAAGGTATATGTTGTGTTTGTTGAAGAAATAATTCACATGCACGTCGCAATAATGTTGTTTTGCCAACACCTAAAAATAATTATTTGATAATGTATTTTTTTTGTTTGTGTATATCTCTTATGTTTGAATATCAATAAAACGATAGAAAATCGACATTTTACAAAAGAATATTTTATGCAATATTAATTATCAATTTCATGAAAGATAGAAAAATCATATGAATGGTTTTCTTTATAATATCAAATAAGCAAAAGAAAATTTTGAATTAAAAATTGAATAGTATCAATCAATTCATTTGTATGTGACTTTCACAATTAATCTTAAAAGGAATTAATATTTATGGATAAAAACATTATTTTATTGTACCAGCTTATTCAAATATACATTGAAATACTTCAATCATTTTTTTTGTATGTAAATTAACTTTAGATGAGTACTTGATTGACATGATGACTAAAATGACTTGTCATCTTTCTTTTTGATTTTTTCATAACATATTTTCGGATTATAAAATTAAGTTCAAAACTAATTGAACATAATTAACTTTTCTTCTCCATCTCTTTAGTCATTCGAGTGACAATTTGTAGAATAATAACAGAAAATCAAGAAAATATGGAATAAAAAAAAGTTTCGAAAACATTTCTTGTAGTGAATTTCATAAACTATCAATTGATAAGAAAATATTTTTTTCGAAAAAAAATTGCAAGAGTGAGGTGTTTTTCTTAAATAAAACACTTTTCTGCAACAAACAAGTTATCTAATGGATATGTATTATGTGATATATAATGATGACAATGCCTAGTACTAATATGAATATCATCCGAACAACTCACAAAAGCTAGATAGAGAAGAAACAGTAAAATATCAAATGGTTACTATGAATTTTCCACAAAAACTAAACCTTTAGTTTTTCAACGATTACAACTGAGACATAAAATTTATTTATATTACATGAAATCGTATAGCAGTTATATTTTATAAAATGAAATATCTCCGAGTTCTCTACAAACGTTTTTTCGTCAAACTATATTAGATAAAGTTGTTCTCTGTCCATACTATATCCAGGTCCCGCGCGACGGACCAAAAATTGTGGGAGGGGGTGTAAGAGAGCATGTTCGAAAAAATTCCGTTGAAATAGTGTGAAATGTAGGAAAAACTCCGCACCTTTCGCTGGGAAAAATTGAAAATTTTCGATTATTAGGGGGATGTACACCCAGGCCTCGCGCGAGCAGGAGTGCACACCCCCCAATCATCGAAAATTTTCAATTTTTCCCAACGAAAGGTGCGAAGTTTTTCCTAAAGTTCACACTATCTCTACTGAATTTTTTCGAACATACTCTCTTACATCCCCCCCCCCCCCCCCCCTCCAATTTTCGGTCCTTCGCGCGGGGCCTAACTATATCGATATATCAGAGATATCAATATTCTATTTTAATGATTGTTTCATCAGTAACTCTTTTGGGTTTACAATGAGGGTTAATGAGTATATTTTTAAGATATTATATGTAATGATTCTTAGAAAGTGTCAAAAACATATTAATCTTATATCATATCATTCTATTGACTATGAAAAAATTTCAAGATACATATGCATCATGGTTAAGATAGTCTTGAATTAGAAAATTATTAAAAACAAATTCAATGTTGTCAATAATATGATTAAGTTTTGCTTCTATTTTCTTTTTTTGTCTTATCCATAGAATATTTGTTATGGTCTATAGAGCATGACGAAATAAATATTTGTATAGATCGAAAAGTTTATCGTTTAGAAATTATCACAATGAATTTCATATAATTGTTTTTTGTTTTCTTGTGAACGATAACATTTTAATAAGTAATTTATTATTTGATTAATAGATATATCTTATCATAATAATGACAAAAGATCGTGATATATATGAAAATATTAATAATAAATCATCACTAATAACTGAATCAATTTATAGGAATCCAGTTTTTGATGATCATTATGAAGTAAATTAAAATTTTGTATTTAATTTATAACATATATTTTTTTCTAATATAGGATACAACAAACTTACCATTACTAAATAATTCATCATCATCAAATAATACTGAACAATCACCTTATGAAGAAGTAGCTGTTAATATATCAAATAAAGATGATTCAACAATATTATGTCTTACAGTTCGTTCAATATTTATTGGTATTTTATTAACATGTGTAATGGCATTTATGTCTCAATTTTTTGCTTTTCGTACATCACCATTAGATCTTGATATTGGTATTATTATATTACTTGCATATATGCTTGGTAAATTAATGTCAAAAATATTACCAGAACGTATATTTCATATAACATTAAATCCGGGTCCATTTACATATAAAGAACATGCTATGATTACAATAATGGCTGCATCAGGTACACATACATATCAGGGTATTGAAACATTGATCATTCAACGTTTGTATTATAAATATCATCTTAGTCATGTTAATTCAGTATTATTTCTGATAATAATGCATTTTATTGCTATATCAATATCGGGTATTTTAAAAAGATATCTCATATGGCCATCTTTTATGATATGGCCAAAAGCATTAATGGGTTGTTCTTTAATACGTACATTAATTAATGAAGATGAATTCTCTAACAATAATTCTCGATGGAAAATGTCACGTTCGAAATTTTTTTGGTTAATTGTTTTATTTCAATTTTTTTGGTATTGGTTTCCGGGTTATATATTTCCTCTTTTATCATTTATTTCATTGATTTGTTTTATGGCACCAAAAAATATTATTCTTTCACAAGTAACAGGTGCATATGGACTTGGTCTAGGTACAATAGAACTCGATTGGAATGCTTGGGTCAGTTATTTAGATTCACCTATTCTTGTACCATTTTGGTAAATTGTTTTTTTTTCGTTTGTTATAAATTTTAATTAATTATTTCTTTTTCTCAAGGGCACATGTCAATATTTTTGCTGGATTTATCGTTGTTGTTTGGATTATAACACCGATTATTTATTATTTAAATATTTGGGATTCACAAAAAATGCCTATTATTTCAAATAGAGCTTTTGATAAAGATGGCTATTTTTTTAATATGACTAAAATATTGACCGAAGATTTTCATGTAAATAAAACTGCTTATGAGATCTATGGTAATTAAGAATATTTGG